ATTTAATTTCCAGGAGTGTTAAGAATTCTCAGATACATTTAGGAAGTTGCAAAGCAGGAACTACTCATCTCTGATCTGACATAGCTCTGTGACTCGAGCATTGCACGTGCCCACACACACACACGCAGCATCCATTCCTGAGAACTTATGGTCAGAATGATACAGACCCAGGTGGGTCTCCCTCTACCCAACTCCACTTCTGTTTGGTTGCCCTTCCGGACCTGTGGTCAGGCTCGGGGGCGGGCTGGTGCGGAACACAAACAAATCGATTTCAAAATAGGCTCAAGGAAAAAAATTAGGCAGATTATGTTAATGTGCATAATAATTGCCAATAAGAATGATTTTTAGGGCATCCACTCCCGTTGACTCTCCGTGCTGAAACACACTGAATTCCTATCAAGAGATGCTGGTAAGGCTTGGTGTGTCACACCTGTGGGTACGTACCCTAACACGAGCCACGAGTCAGATCAGCCCGAATTCTGCTTAACGAGGATCCACAAAGTGCTCCGCCCCTTAGGTGCGAACAGTTTAACCGAGCTAAACACTCAGGAACGATGCGATCACAAAATGAAAGGAGCAATCACACCTCAAGTAGGAGTTTATGATGTTTTGGCTCACGATGAACATTAGTCTCTCCACCAATGTCAGGCGGTAACTCATGGCTGCACAACAGCCATACAATACGATCACTTAGTGGTAGGAATGCGAGAGGCAAGGAGAGAGGGTTCCGGCCAAAAGAGTTATGCAAAGAGATTTTTGTCCATCTGAGGCAGCAACTGGCCTCGTTACCCCAACTTGGGACAAAGATTTTCAGGTTTATACAGACACCCTAGAGCAGATCGGGATGGTGTTTGCCTTAAGATTTTTTTTTTTTTTTTAACCTGGAGTTGAAATTTTAACAGTCTGTGGGTTATTTCTAAGTTCCTAAGTACTTCCTGGTGACTGTAGCGTTTATATGCCACTTTTTTTTTTTTTTTTAAGATTTTTATTTATTTATTTGACAGAGAGAGACACAGCAAGAGAGGGAACACAAGCAGGGGGAGGGGGAGAGGGAGAAGCAGGCTTCCCGCGGAGCAGGGAGCCCGATGCAGGGCTCGATCCCAGGACCCTGGGATCATGACCTGAGCCGAAGGCAGACGCTTAACGACTGAGCCACCCAGGCGCCCCTATATGCCACGTTTCTTAATAGCACTCGCCTATAATGCTTGCCACGGAAAAGCTGCCCATACTGGCCATCACACACACACACACACACACAAGCACGCACGCACGCACGGGCACGCACGCATCAGAAAACGTAAAAGACATCCAAATTGGCACTTTCCTCACCTCCTTTCCCTCTGCCTCATGTGATGTATGCACTAAAGGAGTGAAATTATGGTCCTCAGAGGCCAGGTTGCAAATGATGAGGACCCACACCTTTCAAACAAAAGGAAAAGTCAGTAATTTCGAGGGCAGCCTATGGATCACTACAGTCTAGCTCCAAGACCCCAGAAACACACAGCAAACCCCCAAGCCCTCACATCCACCCTCCCCACCTCGAGTCCCTTGTCGTATGGCAAAGAACTCTGCATGGCCCTTGATACACACAGGAGATTATTACAGGGCTCAGAGAAGACAACTCTGTAATTACGGCTACAGTATGATTTCCATTATTCTCACTCCCTGGTTTCAGCAGCTCACAAAACTTCCCGCAACATCCTCTTGTAGCCCCAAAGCATCTCACAGCTGGGCCTCTGCCCAAAAGGTGAATGTGGTCTGATAGCCTCTGGGAAAAGCAATACAGAGTGCTGGCAAGGAAAGGGGAGTGGTGCTCAGTGAGCCGGGGTGGTGGGAAATTCTATTGTTCCGAAAAAAATAAATAAACTGGCCAGTTTTGCTTTTTATTATTTCAAACAACTGGCTCAGCGGCCCAGCCTTCCTTTCCCAACTCAGACCGTCCCCTGGGCCGGCGGTGCCGAGTCTGTAGCAGCCGTCACTAGGCTCCTGCAAAAGTATTAAAAAGGCTGCCACTCTGAGCTCGTAGCGCAGAAAGTTTGGCTGCCCCAACAGCCCAGTTTTCCCCAGGAGGGCCGCTGGCTCATTCCCCCTCACATGACCCTCTGCTCTTACCTCTCAAATGTTTATGCTTCACCAATCACCATTGCTCTGGAAATTAAATGGAACGTCCCAGGTGGCTGAAACAGAACTGTTCTCTTTTTTTTTTTTTTAAAGATTTTATTTATTTATTTGAGAGAGAGCACATGAGAGGGGGGAGGGTCAGAGGGAGAAGCAGACTCCCCGCCGAGCAGGGAGCCCGATGCGGGACTCGATCCCGGGACTCCAGGATCATGACCCGAGCCGAAGGCAGTCGCTTAACCAACTGAGCCACCCAGGCGCCCCGAAACAGAACTGTTCTGATATAAACTCCCCAACGGAAAAAAATGGGAAATGCCAGCCCGAGGTTTATAAAGCCCCAAGCCTCCTGGTCAGGTGATGCTTGTTGTTGTTGGCCCGGCTGACCTCCGGGGACACTTGAAGGCAAGGCTCTGCCTGCGGCCTGCCCTGTGAGCATTGTCTCTGTGCCCTGTGCATGCCCAGACTCTCAGATGTGTCCCCAGCCCACTGTCACAGAGATGTGCTGCACTCTGACCTCCCCATCAGGGCCCAGGCTTCCACGGGTGCAAGACAGTCAGCCCCCCACTGACCTCAAGCCACCCTCTGACCAACAGCACACATTTGCAAGTTGACTGTCGTGGGTTTACGACGCAGCCATGGCCGGGAAACATGTCTCTTTTTCTCCCCCAAGAGAAAATAACTGTCTGTTCTGTTATGTGCACTGAGTTCTCAATGTTTATTTCACTGACACCAGCTCAGACGATGACCAAAAAAAAAAAAAGAAAAAGAAAAGAAAAGCCTCCTACAGGATCCACTTACTCAGTCTTGCCAGCAAGTAAATGACCCTAAGGCACAGGGTAGGAAGTTCAGTGGGTGCGAATCTTCTAGCGCACTGGGGTAAGTTACTTCTCCATTGCACTGAGCTTGGGCTCACTAGAGAAAAGAGTGAAGGCTTGCTTGGTTTTTACTCTCCATAGTGGCTCCATATCTTGCTTGGTTTTATCTCTCCATAGTGGCTCCATAGGGCCAGGCGAAGCAGGTCAATAGACATCTCATTGTACGAACTACATATGGGAATGCCTTTGGTATTTAGGACTCACTTTTCTAGCAAACCAAACTTACTGAATCATAATAAAGAATGAAATCATCTGAGCATCCAACAGAAACACCTTCAGGCCCATGCTCCAAAGCCTGGGTTTTTCCCTCCTCTGTTTATACTGAGGCTTATCGGACACAATTTCAGCCGGCTTGGATGCCTGACTCCCAGCTCACGGGAAGCTGGAAGCCACGGACAGAGGGAGGAGGAAGGAGCGGGGTTGGCCCAGGCTCCTGACAGCAGCTGGAGGTGACGAGCCACAGTGTGCACTAGATGGAGAGGCAGGAGGCGGCCCCACCCAGACAGGAGTCGCGCCAGAACGACATACCTACGGGTCACACACGACACCTTCTGGGGCGTCCACGAGGTTCGTGAGCCAGAATCACCGCAAGACGCCAAGGCAGCAACAAAACGTTTGCTTGGGCTTAATAGAGTCTTTGCAGAGAGGCAGGAAACTATGAAATACAGTTCTTAAAGCCACGTAGATGGTGGTCACATGCATTGTGCATTTGACATGTGAGGTCGTACTCTAGGGCGTCACAGTTAGCTCTCCGGGCAGTACCAGATGGTGGCACGCCGCCCGCACCAGCCTCCTGGTGCCTCATGGCATTCACCAGCACAGGCTTCCTCTTCCAGATACTACCCATGTCACTACTCCCCACACATCCCCACCTCACACACACCTCTCCCCCCACCACCCCGTATGCTCACACGCCAGCCCCACTGCCTGTTCCAAGAGATGTAGAATTTAAAGAAAGAAATGATGGCCAGGCCGTTACATAGTAGGATGGGAGAGTAGGCAAAGTCTTCTAGATTTGCTGAGAATGTGTCCCCTTGACCACGCGCAGCTGATACCCAGAAATGCAGCGAAGGGAAAGTAGAGCTCAAAGTTGTCTCAGATCGGGCAGTGCCCGATATGGAATCACACAATATCCAGAGAATTCTGAGGGAAGCCTAAATTAGACAAGCAGGAGTTCCACATGGATTCATCAACATTTCCCTAGGACAAGACTGAAGTGCAATTATCAGCTGACACAAAACAGGAGGTACGGCGTAGTCTTAGGAAGGCTTTGGATACCATCAAGGGGGGGCTCTCGGGCACCAGCTCCAAGTCACTGAGATGAGAAGCCTGAGCAGAAGTGGGTGAGGGAAGAGTCTTGGATGGAAGGGTGCCCCCAACACTGCTGATGGGCCAATATCACCCAGTACCCCGAGGCCAGCAAGCTCTGGGGGACAAGGAAGAAAAGCTCCTGTCCCACATCACACCATTCTCCTCCACCTCAAGTAATTTCTATGCCCCCACAATACCCACAGTTTCCTCATCCCACGATCTGACACAGCCCCATTATCAACTCCAGCAGGTCCTGCACTTTCCTCCATCTATTTCCCTGCACAGATTCCCGATGGATACACTAGTCAAAAGGACTGAAGCAAGAGGAACATGTACATAACTTGCCTCTGCCCACCTTCCCCAACCACCCCAGCCTTAGAAAGCCTTTGCATTAGGCCACAAACCCAAGCTGGACAGAGCACACCATCGCGAGGCTGGGGCAACTCCTCCACGTGCACCCCAGCCCCAGGGAAGAGGTGCATCTGCACACTCACCCACTGTGATTCCCACAGTAACCCTCCGCACAAAGGCAAAGGGACAGGGTATCAGTCATGACCTCAAGAGTGACATATCTCCTTAGCTCAAACTTGTATCACTTGCCCACCAGGGCCAAAGTAGTAAAACATGAAATCATATCCATCCCAGTGGGGACAGATGGCCTTCAGAATAACCAAAATGACTGCACCTCATTCCTACCTTCTTCAGCTTGCCACTTTTGGTGCCCACGAAGGCCAGAGAGTGATTCTTGTAGACGTATGCGATGACAGAAGTCATGCGGTCCCTGTCCTCCGTGAAGACAGGAATGCCGCGCACCATCTCGGACACACCCAGGGGGGCATTCATATCCAGGCCACAGAAATTATCATCAATGGTTAAGAGCTGAAAATTAAAAAGGAGAAAAATTAGGAGGGAATATCAGGACAATAAGCAGAAGTACCGAGTCAGGGAGCTACAGGGCTAGAAGAATCCCTTTTTTACATGAAAAACTCGGATCCAGAGAAACTAGGTGACCTGTCAACAGTCAAGCAGGTGGCAGGACCATGGCAAAAAAACACAGATCCTGAGAGTCTCTTTCCTCTCCTGGCCTCCATGGGCTCTCTGCCCCAGCTCCAACCCCTTCCAGGCGCCATCTTGGTAGCTTAGATTGTCCATCATCACCATCACACCAGCAAGCACTGGGCCAGCACCCATGAGCGGGGGCTCCAGACAGCTCTCCTTAGGAATAGAGGGAATATGGCCTCCATACCTAGAACTTACTAAGTTGAGCAGACACACAGATGAGGACTCAAGAGCATAGAAGAGAAAACTGGAAACATTAACACGTGAATGACAATACCATGACAGAGGCATGTGCAGGCAATCAGTTGGGGAGAGAAATAGGAGAAGTGGAAGGTTCACGAATGAACTCAACAAGCCACAGAGGTGCCTCATTATGCCCCATCTCAGGCTCCCTGCTTTTATTTTAAAAGTGTGGTGAAGATGGGAAATCCTGGCCTTGTCATACCTACACCAGCATGTCCCTAAGTGTCTTCTGTGGAAGTCAAGTCCCCCCAAGATGCTCTACCAAAACAGGACTCCTTGGGCAAATAATTTTGTACTGAAACATAATATGTTCTAACACCATATAAGAGACTCATAACAGTTAGTTACAGTAAAGGTTTGAAAAGTCTTTTTAAGAAGAAATATGTTTAACATTCCTTCAGCCTTTCCCAATCATTGTATGTAAAATATATGTAAAAATGACTGGAACACCTATGAGCCTTCCTTAAAGAGAATATCCCCTGGATACCCTGTTTCCTGAATCCTGGACAATTCTAGGAGTCAGGGAACCAAGAGCAAAAACCTTTGGACCATTTTCCCCACCGTGTTTCGGCTGAATCTCTCCCTGTTTTATTCCAGGCTCCCAGGTTCCCATGTGAGCACAGGGTCACAGCTGGGTTCTGTCCCACTGAGGAGTGGAGAAGACCTTGCCACGGCTGGCATGGAGCCCCTAGCGCCCCACCGAGCAGCTCTGGTGTGACACAGACTTCTCTGAAAGCCCTAGGAACCTACGCTGGCTTTTCCTCTCCTTCTCAGAAGAACTGTGTGGCCTTAGAAGAGTTATTCCGTCTTCTCATGCTTTTATTTTCCACTCTATAAAGATGAAGGAAACAAGCCCTGCTTTTTGATGGGTTTCCATAAAGCCTATAGAGCTCACGCCTGTAAACGTCTTTGGACTTTGCAGAAAAAGGAGTGAAATAAAATCCAAGGTGTCACTTTTTTAAAGGCTTCAATCCAGCCAAAGGAAAAGGCATCTGGAGAACCAGCAGGCAGGCTCTTGCCAGCGGAGCAGTGTGAAAGTGGCCAACTCTGAGCTTTCCAGGGACTCAGGGGGCCCCTCGGCTCCCTCCCAGGATTGGGAGGGGGCAACAAGGATTGTCCATCTCAGGGAAGACAACGTGCTGAGCATCTAAAACCTCTCTCTGACCTCTCTCCTCTTTCTTATCATGGGGGCGGCTGGGGCAGAGCTGGGGAGAGCCTGGGCAGGCCCGGGCAGGCCACGTGCAGAGCAGATGTCTGCACCACGCCTTTGATCTCCTCTGGCCTTTCTTGCGTAGTCTGGTCCAACAGCCCAGGCCAAACACAACCCCCAACTCCTCCCCCCACCCAAAGAAACAATATAGAAGTCAAAGTTAGGAGGGAGCTTTCAGGGTCTAGTCTGATCTTTATGGTTCTTTCCTAAAATGAGATGGGCGAGACCGGTGGTGGGGGGCAAAAGGGATAGAAAGCAAAGAAGGAGGAAAAATACAGATAAAGGAGAATGGTGCCTTCTCCCTGTCGGACATAATAGCAGCATGACCCGCCAGGCATGCCAAGGGCAGCCTAGGGCATGCTGGGAATCCTCATGGCCTTGCATGTTCCTGCCTCCACTTCATAGGGAGTTCTCATCCCTGACTTTCTTGGCCCTAAGCTGTGCCACAGGGACTTCTGCCATTATGATCCATTTTCCAAGCAGATGAGGCTGGCAGATTATCCACACAGCACAAGAAGAAACTGAGGCAGGGAGCGAGGCAAGCCACATTTGACATTCTCCCACCACCCTTAGCACAAACATGTGCCTCACTGACATGGGGAGCCTTAGGCTGCTCAGCCCCCAGAATTACATTTCTGAGCGGCCAGTTACCGAGTACCATTCTTCCCCTTGACTGGGCAGAACACAAACCAATAAATAAACAATCGCTTAAAAAAAGAGTGTAAGCGTTTGGCCAATTGCAGCATTAAATCATGGTTTGCTCAGAGGCAGCAAGTCTCTGCCACTCGGACAACTTGAGCGGCAAGGGGCCCAAGGAGGAATGTTTTCACTGGAAGGAAGTGAGGACAGCTCAGCCTGGTGACCCGGTGGCCAGGGCCCTGCCCGTCTTTGGCTCAGGACGGCTCCCTGAGAGGCTCAGGCAGGAGGCAGGCAGTCTGCTCACCTGTACGTGAACAGTCATCCCCCACACTGCCTACCTCATGGTGTTGTCATCAGGCTCAAATAAGGCCAAGGCTGCAGCTGGGCTTCCTAACGTGGCATTGGGATTCCAGGGACAATGATGGCTTTCTCCCGAGCCCCCCTCCCACCATGTATCGGTTTCTCCCTCTAAACAGGGCTCCAGGTGATAAAGGTGTGATCAAGGCCTTGAACCAGGTGCAGTCCAGGTCCCCCAGCTGTGGCACGAGGGGGTCTTACTCTTTGTTTCCTCAAAGCAGATGCAATGCGGCGGGGGGGGTGGGGGGTGGAATTTTTAACACTGAAGTAGCAGAAAAAACACAGGACTCGGGTTCACATGGCAGCCCGATTCCCAACTCTACAACTTCGCATAGGCAGCTCCTGCTCTCTGAGCTTCACTCCCCTTGACTGGACTGTCATGAGGGCCAGGTGAGAAAGCAGGTGTGAAGACACTGGCTAACCTGGAAAGCACTTTGTCAATTTGAGGTGATATTTCATATTTGTTTTTTTAATGGGAATCCTGCCCAGAATGGGGGTAGGATGGCTATAGGGAGTGTCCCCAGCATGGCTCCTGACGGGAGCAGGCTCCCTAAGGACACCACCATGCCGGGTCTGAGCTGCGGCCCCAGGGCAATTAGAGCACCAGGGTGGGGGGTGGGGGACCCCATAGGGACCACAGACCGGGGAGGCTGAGGTGGAAGGAGCAGATGCCAGAGCCGTGTGGGTCCTGGAAGGAAAGGCTAATTGGTGAAAGCCTTCGACAGGTGAGGGCTGGCGTGGATTCCAGAACACCCTGGGCAGCGGAGGAGGAGAGTGTCTGCCCTTGCCCTGGCCCAGCTCTCCCCTGGGCCCCATTAACAGCCAGATTAGAGCAGCAGCCAGAGGAGCCAGGAGTGGACTGCACCCCAGCGTAATCAGAAGCCTGGCCACAGCTCTCCCTCGGCTGCTCCACAGATGCCCACAAATGAGCTTTGGCCATTGTTAAAATGCTTATTTGTTAGACAGCAACTTCATGCTCACCAAGGACAAAATAAGGTTCTGTGCCAAGAGAATCTATGCAGTGCCTACTTGGGCAACCCTGTGAACAGACAGGGTTCTGTTAAAGCCTTAGACAGGGCTACAGCCTTCTGCCCCGATCAGGAAGATCCCAAATCTGCTCTCCACAGATGTCTCCATGATTGCATGGCTTATAAATTAAGACCTATGATCCACTGGATTCCAGGGACCATGAGCTCAAGGACAGGACCATGTTTTAGGTGTCTTTGTACCCTTAGCTTAGTTTCTGGTTCGTAGTAGGTTAAGACATATGTGTTGAAAGAATGGATGGATGGATGGATGGATGGATGGATGGAAGGATGGATGAGTAAATGGAAACCCGACTTTCACAGTAGTTAACACTGTGGAACTAGAATCAGAATGTCTCGGTTTGAACCCCAACTCTACCACTTAATGCTGTGTGACCTTGGGCAAGGTACCTAACCTCTCTGTGTCTCAGCCTATTGGGAGAATGGGGATAATGTTATGAGTATATACTTCCTAGCGCTGTGGTAAGGATTAAATGATTTAATGCATGTAAACACTGTCTGGCACTTAGGGCTATAGAAGTGTTCGCTCTTATTGTTTGTCATCCTTAGACAATTCTGACAACCTTTGTGAGTCTCATGTTTTGGGGGAAATTCATGGTATCTACCTCAGAGCAGTGTTCCCACAATCAAAGGGCCTAATGCCATCAAGATGAAATAGCAAAAGGGGAACTTCCTAAAGATCTATAAGGCCTATGGAGGCTGAAGGAGGGACCAGAGGAATGGGGTAAAATCTGGAACATTTAGCGCTCTTCATTAGGAATGCAAATTCTCAAACCGACCCCAGATCTACTGGATAGGGAACTCTGGGAGTGAGGCTCAGGGACCTGCATCTTAACACCTTCCCAGGTAGGTGACGTGACCATTCACCAGATTTGAGAAGCACTGGCCTGGGACCCCGGCGCCTGCCGAGGTCCCTTCCTTGCTGAGGGCACCACAGCCCAGGCAGGTGCAGCAAGAGACAGCCTAGCGGCTCCGGAGCAGGGCCCACCGGGCCGGAGGCAGAGGCTCCCCGGCGGCCTCCTGAGCGGCAGTGGCAGCCGAGGTGGTGTGGAGAGCCGGAGCTGACACTCCAAATTACAATCTAATAGCTTACCACGCTTCCCTCGCGCTCGACGGCAAAGGTTACCATGCAATTACGCGCCGCCACATACAAATGACAGAGCAGTTATGGTTACTTTACCAATTACGGGGAAATTGCTCCCACTCTGTAGAGAGACTGGCACTCTGAAAAGCTCTATCATCGCCACAGAAAGGGGGTTTTAATTCTGCCGGCATCCTTCCTCTGGCTGCCTCCCCAGGCTCCTGGGGCAGAGCTGCAAAGCGGT